GATGTTGCCGATTGATTTTACTGAAAATTGGTCGATTTCATTCCTCTATCCGGTCACAGAGATCAATGTCGATTCCATAAAAAAGAAGTAATTATCGGAGAAGCCAATCCAGATAATAATATGAATGTTATATTCGTCAATTCGAATGTCATATTCCGAACTGAATTTTGTAACACGAATAGGTCTAAAATCACTGTTGCAGGGGATGATAAATCATTGCTAGCCACGGAAGTGCTAATCGTCCTTGGCTAATATAATACAGGTAACCGTGTATTTTGCTGCGATCACAACTTGAAATCAATAATCACAAATGTCGTTCGTCAAGGAATTAGTATAATATCTAATTTATGGGTCACAGCTGCTCATATCGTTGGTAGCTGGTTTCTCGTCATAGGTTACTATTTAGTAGAATCACAGTAGATGTATGTGACACGTACGTGAACTGTTTGTGTAAATGTGACCTGATCTGTGAAACTGTAACCTCTTTACTATGAAATGTGAAGTGTTTCAACAACTATGTTCATGTATGTAGCATCAAACATGTCGGTATTCACTTCAATCATATGTGACCACTGTGTAACAATGTAGGAAAAGTCATATGTGACTTGATTTGTGGCTCTGTAACCCTAATAGGTAATGCGTGACCTGCTTTGTGAAACTGTGATTTGACTTATGAAACTGTAACCTATCTGATGTGACATGTTTCGCCCACTATGTGTCGAGAATGTAAAATTAAAAATTTGTCATTCGTTTCGAGCATACGTGACCCTCCCTGTCAACTTTGTAGTCTGAATGATACCAATCTATGACCCGGCTTGTGATAGTCTTATCCATAACTATCTGTAACCTGGTTTTGCTAATTTGTGACCTCATTGCTGTGCAGTGTGACATGTGACATATTTTACCTATGATAAAATTATTGATATTAATTGTAATTTGCAGAATGGTGTACTTGCACGTATATTTACTGTATGGATTGCAATCCTCATTGGCGTTGGTAGCTTGCAACTGCAGTTATTTAACCCTTGTGGACACAGTTATGACAGAATTTGCTCTAGATCCTCCGAAGGTAGCGGTGTCATTGAAGTACATACTGAAAGAAAATTTGCCTCCCATCAGGATAAAAAATGACAATAATGTGCTATCATACATTCTACTAAAGGACATGGAGCGTGAACATGCTAAATATCCTATAATCGTCGACATTGTTGAGGCAGAAATAGATAATACGTCCATCATAGTGCCAGTCAATGTGCATTTCAGCAGTGAGATGTTTACATTGCAAGACATGTCATCAGACATATGTGAAGCATCAAATGAAAAAATGGGTCACATTTGTGACATTGAAGTCATAGTTATGTCTATCGCGAATGCTAAAGAGATAGAAGAAGGAAGGGTGTTCCGTGATAAAAATGTTTTGAAAATGAGCTTGTCATTTTTTGCCATACAGAACATGTTTGAGTTTATGGTTGAACGGTCTGACAAGAGAAAATATGTTGTGAGGTGTTCGAATGGTGGATGTAGTTGGATATGTAGATCATCGATATAGGGTAAAACAGATCTATTTAAGATTTGAAATATTGGTAGTCACACATGTGCATCAAATGTAGTATTGTGATCATATAGGCAAGTGTCATCTAAGGTTGTGTCATCTACAATTAAGTACAAGTACACATCGTTCCTTACTATATATACACCAAATGACATATGCAGTGAGATGTTGAATACTTATGGGGTTTATTTGAGTTATTCGAAAGCTTGGAGATCTCGCGAGCAAACTTTGAAAATGATTAGGGGTGATCCAGCCGAGTCATTTGGTAAGTGGCCAAGTTTCTTCTACATGCTCCGACAGAAAAATCTTGGTACGGTCAGAGAAATGGAGGTTGATAGTCACAGTAAGTTTAGATATTACTTTATGGCACTAGGTGCATCAATACGGAGATGTGAGCATTGTAGATCGATAATTGTTGTTGATAGTACATACTTGAATGGTAAATATGGAGGTACTATTTTCATAGCATGTACACAAGATGCAAATAATAACATATTCATTTTTGCTTTTGGAATTGGAGACAATGAGAACGACAAATCTTGGAGATAGTTTTTGGATAAGTTGAAGAAGGCGTATAGAAATAGAGAAGGGCTGTGTTTTGTGTCGGACCGTCAACCAAGTATAAAGAATGCGATAAAACATGTGTATCTAGGAGCTTGTCACGGTATTTGTTCTTATCATTTGCTGTAAAATCTAAAATCATATTATAGAAAGTCAGGCCAAAACATTACACAAGCATTCAATTCGGCTGTCCGTGCTTACACACTGGAAGAATATGATTATAACATGTCTATGCTGACAACGATGAATGAGAAGATTATTTTGTACCTGGTAGTGTACTACATCTTATTTCATTTCACATACATATAAATGGTCACATATGGTATTTATATGATGTTCATTGAATTGATTTATGTTTGCAGGCTGATATTGGACCTGAAAAGTAATCACAAATACATATGACAACAAATAGATATTCTACAATAGCATCAAACATTGTGAAATCGGTTAATGCGGTCATGAAGGAAACCAAAAAGTACCCTATTGTATCCTTGCTGGAGTCATTCCGGCAAACCATACAATCGTGGTTTTGTAGACACAGATATGATGCGCATGAAACTTTCACAAAGTTGTCGAGCAAGTACGAGAAAGAGATTAGGAAAATGAGCATGGATTTGAGGAACTTGAGGGTAATTTTCTATATTTTAACATTCAGATGTATATGTGACCCATCGTAAGTATCAGTATCTTGAACTGTAATGTAACAGATCTGGTTGGTAAACTAAGTTTGAAGTTTCGTATTCTGTTTCATAGCTATCTGTAAATAGAACAAATTTGTGTAACCTGATATCTAAATCTGTGGCCTATGTGATGTGGTATGTGATGTAACTGTGTACTCTCTGTCAATTTTGTACTCTGATACATGTCTATCTGCCATGTGAGGTCTGGATTACATGTGTAACATGCTTCTTGAATCTGTAAATGAACTCAGGGATATGAGTCATTCATGTACGATCGATACGTTGGAGTATATGTGACCTATATACAACTACATGTGACCTGACTGTTATTACATGTACACATGTATCTCCTTCAAACTAGACAATATTTTCTGTCAGCAATGAAAGATCGACGTTTGTCGTCGATATTGAGCAACGAACGTGCACTTGCAAGATTCTACAAGTTGATTTGTTACCGTGTCCACACGCTTTGGCTATAATTGCAAACACAAGAAGAGATCCGTATGATTACTGTTCTTATTATTACACAAAAGATGCGTACTTGAATGCGTACCAAGATTCTGTATATCTTGTAGGAAATCAAGAGGAATGGACAGTGCCGGAAGAAATACAACGAGAAACAGTGTTACCTCCTAACTAGAAGAGGAGTTGTGGAAGGCCTACGGAGAAAAGAAAGAGATCATCCAGAGAATGGAGACTGACAGCAAAATGCGGACGTTGTGGAGGACAGGGTCACAACCATAGGAGATGGGCCAGCTTGGATGCATTACACTAAAATGACCAATAGAATTACATACAAATATTTCATAGATAGGTGATATTCTTTTGAGGATAATGTTCATTGAAAATAGTCTTTTTAAAGAATGCATTGATATTGATCGACTAACAGTTAATTATCTATCAACTTTGGAGTCAGAATAATAATTCTCTGAGATTTAGACCACATCTGTAACCCGATACCAGATCTGTGACTTGTGTACTGTGACCTGTGATGTGTGACATGCTGTATGAAAAAGTTAATTGATTTGTGAATATGTAACATGAAATGAGAATATGTGACCTGAGGTGTGGACACATACGGGTAAAATGAATCCCAATGTCTATAACCCATGTGCTGTGACATGTCACGTGTCGTATGAAATGTATGTGTGACGTGATATGTAAATCTGTGACCAAGTTAAGAAACCAACTGTAACCTGTCTGCTGTACTATATGATATGTTTCACCGACTACGTGACGCTGTTAAAAATAAAGAACCTATATAATTTACACCATATATATATAAATATCATTAAAATGTAATCGAAGATGATGAATCATGAACGTAAACACTTTAATATCCTTTATTGCAAATCAAAGGTTACGAGTTACTATTCATTACATGAACCTCTACTGACCAAACACATGCAATGTTCATAACATTTACAAATTAAATCCTTGTCCTCACTAACAAATCTAAAGCCAGTTTTCATTCTAGAACAAGTGCTTCCTCCGTCATAGGCTGATTCACTCTCTTTGTGTGAACTTACCGGTATTTGTAGAGCAGCATAACAATATCCATTCTGAACTTGCTGGCATCAAACTTCTTAGGAATGGAACATCTATCACCACGAATAAGATACAACACATATAACACCACGAATATCCCGCAATCATGACTGCAGAACATGTGATAGACTGTTATGAATGAATCAATCAAAAGGATATACGCATTGTAAATCTTGGTTACAGACTTACCCATTTGTTTGCTGAGGGAGTGTGTCGTCAATGATCACCTTCAATTCTTTTGCTTTTGGTTCGTGATAATCAGGATCCTTCTTTGAGATTCCCAAGATATTTATTAAAGTAGGCAATACATTCACGTACGGCTCAATACCTTGCAAAACCTTCCAGTCACGGTAAGATTTTCCTACCGAGTTGAACACAGTCAAAGTATGACTTCTGAATTGTAACAGGCCAAGCATCCAATATGCTTTGTTGGTGGGTATGATCGGCACGAACACATAGTCAACATCGGCCCAGGGTGAGCTAAAATGGAGGTTGTGACCTATTACAACCTCAAGCAGGCTCGACTCTGACATCAGAACATTTGGGTCCTTCATGAAGGCAGGAAAGATGTCTTTTATTTTAATTTGGAACCATGAGTTTGTGGTGGTGGCCTTGTATTTCACATTTTTACCAAATTTTGCTACATGGTGAATGAAGTAGAAGCAGGCATCCATGTGCTGTTTTAATGAGAAGAAAAGATGTAAGCATTGCGTACAACAGATTGGATACGAATGAATTTGTGACTATTTCCAATATGAAATGTAACCTACTTGTATCATCTCTGATACTCTTCTTAACGAGTACGAAAGGAATCAGAATTTTAAAAAGAGTAATGTAACTTAATTGAGTGTGTAATCGTAATCGTACTGCACCACTCAGTGATGACTCCTATAATCTCGTGGAACGAGGTCTTATGACTTACTGGGAATGAACCAATTAGAAAAGCATGCTTGATGGTGTCGTCTTCCTCGCTAAACTTTTTCCTGTAACCGACACTAAAGGTTACATTCTTTTGTTAAAACTGTGTATTGACTAACTTTTCACAAATAGGTACGAAATTCACTTGTTTTTTGGTTTGTACCCACTCTGGTACCAACCCATGAAGGCTGATTTGTTAACTTCGTCAACATTGTCTTTGTAGTCCTCAAAAACGACAACATATCATTGTGCTTGAATAATTTTCCCCTCTCCTGTCCGGCAATGAAAGGAGACTACAATACCCTCGCTAGCCTTAAAACCTACTTAACTGGTAATTTCGAGGTTGGTTCAGCAGTAGGTGATCCATGTATGTTATTATAGTAGGTTACAAATTGATTGAAAATATGGTACATGAGCTGTTTGTGGCATAGTTTGTAAGCGTGTTTGGTCTGTCACCTATACATGTGACATGTTCTGAATGTGTCTGTAACCTGTGACATATGATTGGAAGATAGTTTGGAAGGGTGTGTGGCCTGTGACCCATTAATATAACATGATTTGGAATGTATGTTATCTGTGACCTATGAATAGGACATGGGCTGAAGGAATCTGTGATCTGTTACCTGAGAATGTGACATGGTTTGGAACTGTGTGTGACCTATGAATGGGATATGGTTTGAAGGTAGATGTGTTCTGTGATCCATGACTGGAACATGTGTTGGTATTGTGTGTGATCTGTGACATATGAAAGGGACATGGTTTGGAATGTCTATAAAATATAACCTATGAATAGGACATGATCTCAAGTGTATATGATCTGTGACCTAATAATACAACATGGTTTGGAGGTATGTGTGATTTGAGGTCTACAACTACTGGAACATGTAAATACTTTATTCTCTACAGTCTTTGTTGTGGTCACCACATCAGATATGATGAAATCTATCCTCTTCTGAATTTCCTCCGAATGCAAAACATTGGGTGGGGTGAATTCAATTCCCAAATCAAATGATGGTGGCTTAAGAGAGAAGAGAAGATCACCACTTGGGTCCATTTTGCCCTTCCCTTTTCTGTCTACGTTTGATACTACGTTTTCCACCTACATGTTGAATGGAAAATGTCGAAATGAACTATGTTATTTTACAGAAATGTGAAATATATCAAGTGACTACCTCCTGAGCCTTTTCAGATCCACTAGCCCCATGATGTTCTTGATCTCCAACTCTAGGAGCTTCTTTTTGTCCTACTCCACGCTCATTTGTCCTGTCACTAGACCGTCTAATGATCTTGTCCATTGCATTGGATATCATTGTTGACAAAGACTCAGATAGAAACTGCATGTTCGTCTGAATATCTATTAGGTCACTTTTAATACAGGCTTGCATTTGAATAATGTCATTCATTTTGTTAATCATCCCTTCGTTCAAAGATGACATGTGACTTGATGTCTTCAAGCTTCGCCTTCAACACTTTATTATCTGCCTGGAGTTCGGATACTTACGCAATACCTCAAAAGCCTGAGAAAAATGAATAACTGATTATTATATGTTGCTTGCGAAATATCTTTGACCAACCATCAACATTCAATGCACACTGGTAAATCTGTAACCTGATGTGTATGAAATGTGACATAGGAAATATTAATGTGTGACCAATAATGGAAATATTGAGAGTTGACAAACATAACAACTTATGTCATCCCGTTGTGCCCCATGAGATTGTGGCTCCTCTTGAGAATGATGAGCGGATGTTGGACCTTCAACAATGGGGGATTTTCCAAGGGCGGATAGCTCCTGCAGTCTTGGAGGAGGAGCAACAAAATCATCGTCATCATCTGAAGAGTGAGCTTGTCCAATATTACTATCCATCAATGGTAGGACTGATGGAATGGACTTTCCGCTAGTACCGATATCTTCAACAGACCTCTCCGTCCTGCGCTTGGTTTTTCTTTGGCTCTCAGATGAGGACGTCGGCTAGATTGGCTTGTTGTACTGGACTTCGTTCGTGTATGGCATCGCCATTTCACTTTCCAATGGTTCCAAGTCACAATCACAATCTACAATACAATATGTAGTTTATATGAATGCAAAGTAAAAAAATTCAATATTGATTACATGACGCTTACTGGAACTTTACCTTAGGATTGGAGAAGCAGTCGGGTTCTTCCAATTTGGCAGCCGATGGTTGCTCATCTGCCATCCAGTTTACAATTCGAGGATGCACCCTCGATATTCTTGTGACCATGATGCCATCAAGACTGGGAAAAGTCTCGTATATCCATGCTTGGAAAGCTATGAGGAATTGTAGGGTCCTCCTGCTGAGTCCATCTCTTAATACAGCTAGAGTAATTTAGAATAGTAGCTTGCCCCATGAAAAATTGTTCATTTTATTAAATTCCTCAACGAGAACAAATCGGAAGTGGTCGACAACCTTCTTGTAGTCACGTGGAAAGAGATAGGCAGTTAGGAAATATAAAACCCCAAACATTGCAACGTCATTGTCTGGTAGGGCTTCAACCAGATCGAGGTCAGGCATTTGGCATGCAGACAGGAATGTGTCCTTCACATCTTCATGTGTGACAGCATCTACTTGTGAAAAGTATTTGGCCTTCAACTTTGACTGCCTATTTTCAAAAACCTGAGTATCTGTATCACCTGAACATCTCAGTCCTATGACCAAACAGAACTCGGATATAGAGAACCTGACGTATTACCCAGAAACATAAAATCATATTTCTTCCTCATTCGGGTGCCGAACCTGCCTCAGAAGGAAGTAGTGAATCAACTGTAGTTGAG